CATACAATCCATCGATTGTTTGCAAAATGCGCTTAAAGTTTGCCATAAATATCACGTCTGAACACACATTACGTCTAATATTATGTGTATTTTGAGCGCATTTTTATGCTTATGGGGTCTCATATAGTGGTGACGCTATTGATGGACACACTGTAGGCTAATGTGAATGCCTTATGTTAGATGGGATTAGTAGTGATTTATTGTTTGGCACTTTTCAAAAGTTTTGTAAAACTTGTAAAACTTTTTTGAAAAGTTTTGTAAACTTTTTTTTCCCCTAAACTCTATGTATTTTCCATAGTTTTTGGTATTTTTTCATTATCTGATTTGATTATCGCTTTTTTTGTCGATAAAGTTTAGTTAACTTTAGTTTTTAGTTATATGTGTTTGAATTGAGTGTAGCATTGGTTGAGATGATAAGGGATTAGCGTTTTTGCAGGAGGTTTAGGATTTGGATTGAATTTAAGGGCATATTTGTCGCTGCATTTCATTATACATTAGGCACTCGTTTCGGTCATTTCATTGATTGTGTGTCTGAAATGTGTTCACAAAATTGATTGCAATTTATTAATTGATATTCAATTTTTGCCATATATTGTTCATTTACACATCGGTTAACGCAAAATGAAACTATCAATTGTGTTAATCGCGGTGTTATTGCCATTCATACGTATGTATTAATTATAAGTACCTTTAATTTGATATGTAATTCAACGCCCACTTCAATAGCATTACTCAACGCTCAGGACTCACACGACTCTCAGGACTTTCTGGACTATTTGACGCAAACCGTGAATAACTTTAAACTAAATTTTCACAAATCCTTTGAACAGTCGAGAGTCAGACGCAAACAGGACTACACTTTGCCATCGAAAGGGGGTAAGTCTGCCATCAAGTCAACCATCATCAGTGTTTATGAACCGCTAGTTTACGACCACTTTGTTATTTTTTTTGCTGTATTTCCGCAGCGCTCACCGAACAGGACCTTAAAGTTGTCAACACTTCCACAGCGATCCCGAGCCATGTATTGTCGGGCAATCGCCAAAACGGACCGATTCGGGTGTGGGCTGTCATCGAGGACTCGGTTCACTACACGTACCTCTTCTCCGGTCACGCGAACGGACTGTTGGTTTTGGCCAACT